AATATTTAAATATTGTTTTTATTGGTACTAATATTGATTTTGTTATCAGTAAATTAAAAGCAAACTAAATATTATTGTTACATACATATACACATTCATGGATCTACAATACCTGTATCTTGGCATTGCACAAGGTCATGTTTTTCTCTGACTGTTTATGACGTCTAAATCCATTATATGTTGGATGTGTACGGATTGATTGCATGTCTTAGATGCATGATTTTTTTTATTAGTTGTTAGTGGCTTTGAACTAGCTGTCAGTAACTGCGAGTACTCTCAGATCTGTACTTAGTGTCTTTTTGTTGTTTGGATGTACAAGTACCCGGCCATGTCCACTTGTATTTATAGTATTTGTATTTTTATCCATCTGATGAGTTAAGCCTCTTTCAACTGATTTTTATAGTTCGTACTGTTACACCACTGTCCCAGGTTAGGGGGAGGGTTGGGATCCCGCTAACATGTTTAACCCCGCCACATTCTGTATGTATGTGCCTGTCCCAAGTCAGGAGACTGTAGTTAAGTGGTTGTCGTTTGTTTATGTGTTACATATTTGTTATTCGTTCATTTTTTGTACATAAATTAGGCCGTTAGTTTCTCGTTTGAATTGTTTTACATTGTCATTTCGGGGCATTTTATAGCTGACTGTGCGGTATGGGCTTTGCTCATTGTTGAAGGCCGTACGGTGACCTATAGTTGTTAATTTCTGTGTCATTTGGTCTCTAGTGGAGAGTTGTCTCATTGGCAATCATACCACATCTTCCTTTATTATATATACATGATAGGTAAAAATGTCAAAAATAGGGGTACAGCAGTCAACATTGTGTTATAATCTTCATCAATACAAAAACAAACAAATATGTCAACAACAAAAAAACCAAAATGGCATAAAGACGAAGCACATCAGCAAAAAATGAAGACAAGAATACAAAATTACCACAGCGCAACAACACATTGGCGGGATGCATAAGTACCGAGCCACGTCAAAAGGATATTGCCAAAAAAAGGACTAAACAGTAAAGGTTACAAAGACAAATAAAAGAACACTATAACATGTAATTAAGATGATAAACAACGAATCTATACGTCAAGACCATGATGTATTATTTGTGAAGTTGATACGGAATATTTATCGACAAGGTCTTGGTATCTTCCGATGAACTTTTTTAGAAAAAAGGAGACGTTCTTTGACATAACCGTGGTTCCTCGACTTTCTGTTCAGACACTGGTGACGTTTTATTAAGTCTGGGTAGTAGCTGCAAACTCTTCAATACCGAATGAGTTGGGAAATGTATATCCCATATGCAGGTGAAATTGGTATATTGCTACTAAGGTGGGGGAAATTGATAATTTCAAAATTGAAATCGTCTCGTTTGTCATATATATAGATTCGGGTACTGATGACCGCTTATGTCAAATTCGAGGTATAAGTCTAAAAATGAGGCAGAGGAAGCCGTGTCTGTTGTTTCTCTAATTTCTAGTTCTGGAGGATATATTACTGGAACCCAATCAGAAAAGTCTGGATTGTTAATGGAAAGAACATCATCAATATATCTGAATGTGAAATTAAATAATCTGGCTTCTTTGATCTTCTTGTTTTTGACAAGTGTCTGAAGGAATTCCGACTCACATGAAAATAAGAAGAGGAAGGCAAGGAGGGGCACACAGATCGTTCCCATAGGAATCATAAGAATGCCGACAATTTGTTAAAAAGGTCTACCTCCAAATTCAACAATATGTTGCCAATAAGAAACTCCAGCAAACTGATCACTTGTTCCTCTGCGTAGCATGTTTTACCTTTTTGTTCACTTTTAACAAAATATGCCGTATGGTATGCTACCATTTCATATTGAAAAGATTGTGGATTATTTCTCTTAGACGATTTTTCAATTTCACATGGGGAATGGTGGTATACCGGGTTGAAAAATCGAAAGTTTTGATAAAATTAATTTCAGTAAAAGATCGAGATTTAAAATTATCCAGAAGTTCTTTAGATTTTTTTAGAATCCACATATGGTTAATACCACTACGCTAGTAAACAGTTTCACAGTATTTTTGAAGTCCCTCTTTCACTGCGTACAGAATTTTAGTCAATCTGATGGACAATTCCTTTGTAGACCATGCAGATGAGCCGGCAATGTACCGTTGTTTGTATGGAATTTTGTGAAGCTTAGGTATCCAATACAAACAAGGTAAGTCCTCAGATTTGGTGATCGATGTAATGTTCATTGAAGCCACGAAGGACTTATGACTCGCAAAATCTCATCCGTGTCAATTGATATGTGTTTGTATGTGGGATTAACTGAGAGCTCATTTATTCCTAATTCTTTTACAAGACACTCGAAGTAGTACGATTTACGTACAAAGACAATATTATTTGAAGCCTTGTCCGCAGGAATAACAACATATTTATCGTGAAGAGATGATAGACATTTCACAGCTTCTTCGGTCTCTGAAAACGGACTTTAGTCAATCATTCACACAGTTTTTCAACTTATAAATTCTACCTTTTATCAGATACCTGATTGTTTTGACCCATTCTGACAAAGTGTCCAGTTCAACTTCTTCTCGTTTAGCCAATGCTCTGGCTTAGTCTTCAATGGAATCCATAATTATTTTTGAAGTTATGGTTCCAATTGATGTGTTGTGGTTCTCTGAACTTAGGACCATGAGATATTATCTTTCGGAGATGTTCATGTTTAGGTGCAATGGTTTTGGTGTAACTGTAGTATACAATAGGAACAAACTGATTTTGAAAATATAGTGGAGTTTTAGATGTAACCTTCTAGTGATGAAAAACGTTGCTGATGTTGATTGCATCAATTCCTTCATTTGAAAACTGAACTAGAAGGAATTTCCTCTTTTTTTTTGGAGGACGTGTTTTTTAACAGACTGTCGGAATTCCAATGGGAACCAATTGTGTCCCTCTTCTTGTCGACTTTTTTCTTTATTATTATGAGGCTGACTTCATACAGGAACTTCTTAGGAAAAAAGATAAGAAGTTATCAATATCCTTTAACTTTACGTTCCGCTATATAGATGATATTCTCTCACTAAATAATACAAAATTTGGTGACTATGTTGAACGAATCTATCCCATCCAACTAGAGATAAAAGATACTACAGATACAGTTAAGTCTGCCTCATATCTTGACTTACATCTAGAAATTGACAATGAGGGTCGGTTGAAAACAAAACTTTACGACAAAAGAGATGATTTCAGCTTCCCAATTGTGAACTTTCCATTTCTATGTAGCAACCTTCCAGTAGCGCCTACATACGGAGTATATATCTCCCAATTGATACGATATTCCCGGGCTTGTATTTCCTATCATGATTTCCTTGATAGAGGATTGCTGCTCACAAGGAAGCTATTAAACCAAGAGTTCCAAATTGTGAAGTTGAAAACATCCTTTCGTAAATTTTACGGACGCCATCACGAGTTGGTTGACCGTTATGGAATAACCGTTTCACAGATGATATCGGATATGTTCCTTATGTCGTAACTACAATACCCTTCCCTTTTCACGAATTTGACCTACCGAATTAAGACAATTTACCAGATTTGTAATAACATAAGCAACACGACGGGTGCCACATGTGGAGCAGGATCTGCTTACCCTTCCGGAGCACCTGAGATCACCCCCAGTTTTTTGTGGGGTTCGTGTTGCTTAGTCTTTAGTTTTCTATGTTGTTTCATCTGTACTATTATTTGTCTATTTGTCTTTTTATTTTTGACCATGGCTTTGTCAGTTTGTTTTCGATCTATGAGTTTGACTGTCCCTCTGGTATCTCTCGTTCCTCTTTTTTTTTCCCGATCTTACTTTTTACATCACAAATTATACTCACCAGTCTGTATACTGGAGAAAATGTATTTATACATCCCTTGTCAAGTGCATAATCTCTCACACATTTTAGAAAATTAACAGGCAGTGAAAAAAGAATAGTTCTAATGTACGTAACCCTAGCGGATGATGAAGATGTGAAAGAAGGTCATCAAAGCTCCAAGAGGGCGATCTAGATTTGGATGACATTTTTTTTACATTGGACCGATGGTAATGTTTTTGCCCATGACTACGCTGGTGTCTTAAAGTAGTATTAAATAGGCTCATTACGTTTCCTTCACTGCAGGCTAGACTTGACAAATTTCCTACTCCTTTGATGTTATCATTGCAACCATATGACATTGCAGAACCTAGTTCCCTTATCCAGAAATTTCTATATCTTTTCGGAAAGGATTACTTAGTAAAGGGCTTTTGGTGTGGTGATAAATTTTCTCGATGTTGCGTACTTTCATAGATAAAGAATGATCATGGTCCGGTTGATTAGATGAAAGATAGGTATATGACTGAATACAATTTCTGGAGAACATCTCTTGGAAAGTGGTGTTACATTTTCTTTTTTCCAGTCAAGTGCACAATTGTAATGACTTATTGAATAACAGAGATAAAGGATAGCTTAATTCGCGAGTCGCATATTTTAGAAGTCTTGGACTAATGATGTCGGGGTTTGTTGCCATAGATACGTCTAACAAAAAGAATTGATCCATAAACTTCCTCTTGCGTTACAAGTATGAACGACGTCACTTAAATTTACATCCGGAATATTTGTAGAGGAGTCGTCAACGCTCGATTTTTCACATAAAAACAACGAGTAAAGGCATTTGCCTTGTCTTTATTATCGTCTAAGTAGGTATCATTCAGTAGGATAAGGGGTAGTCCGTAGATTTAGAAGGTAGCCAAGCAAAGTTACGCATTTTTTCTACCAATTCTTGATGTAATTTATCTGAATTTATTGATTCAAAATGTTTTTCAGGATGTTTGCATGTTTAATCAAATTGACAAATTCATTTTAATTTTAATAAAGTTTACCCAAGTTTGTCATCCTCTTGATAGTCGGTTTGTATATTGCCACCCTATTTATCATTTTCTTCCAGTTCATGGTCATTATCGCCGGCCTGTATATTATCATCACTTACATGATCGTCGGTCTGTTAATTGCAATTCTTTTTTTTTTATCGTCGGCTTGTTTGTCATCATTTCCATGATCGTCGGCTTGTTTAATGCCATAATTTTTATCATCTTCATCCAGTTCATGGTCATTATCGCCGGCCTGTTTGTTGTCTTTATTTATTTTTATTTTTTTCTTGCCGGACTGTTTATTGTCATCATTTTCATGATTGCCGGCCTAATTACTAGTATTGTCATCATTTTCTTGGTCGTCGGCCTGTTTATTGTCTTCATTTTCTTGGTCGTCGGCCTGTTTATTGTCATCATGAGCTTTCAATCAAAGAGTTTTGAATGCCTTATAAAATTCCGACAAGAATTTATAAATTGTAAAACAAACAAATAATTTGTCTCTGCCCATTATTGTAATAGAAGTTTTCAATGAACACTTTAACCTAGAATGACCAAGTGAGGATTTTTACAATTCAAAACTTTTTCAATGATTCCTATCTTTTTATTGATCAAACCAAGGAGGTTATATGATTTTCTAAATCAAAAAGAAATCCAAGAATTACGTATCTGATTTTTATTTTTGTAATCAGCGATCCACGAATTTACGTATACCACGAAACGTCTTTTTTTCTCTATCCACGAAAATTGATATCCACGAAAATAAATGAATCCACAGTATTGTCATCATTTTCTTGGTCGTCGGCCTGTTTATTGTCTTCATTTTCTTGGTCGTCGGCCTGTTTATTGTCATCATTTTCTTGATCGTCGGCTTGTTTGTCATCATTTTCTTGATTGCCGGCCTGTTTTTTGTCATCATTTTCTTGATTGCCGGCCTGTTTATTGTCATCATTTTCATGATTGCCGGCCTGTTTATTGTCATCATTTTCATGATTGCCGGCCTGTTTTTTGTCATCATTTTCTTGATTGCCGGCCTGTTTATTGTCATCATTTTCATGATTGCCGGCCTGTTTATTGTCATCATTTTCTTGATCGTCGGCTTTATTGTCATCATTTTCTTGATTGCCGGCCTGTTTATTGTCATCATTTTCATGATTGCCGGCCTGTTTTTTGTCATCATTTTCTTGATTGCCGGCCTGTTTATTGTCATCATTTTCATGATTGCCGGCCTGTTTATTGTCATCATTTTCTTGGTCGTCGGCCTGTTTATTGTCATCATTTTCTTGATTGCCGGCCTGTTTATTGTCATCATTTTCATGATTGCCGGCCTGTTTATTGTCATCATTTTCATGATTGCCGGCCTGTTTATTGTCATCATTTTCTTGGTCGTCGGCCTGTTTATTGTCATCATTTTCTCGATAGTCGGCCTGTTTATGGTCATTTTTTTGATAATCGTCGGTCTGTTTATTGCCTTTCTTTTTTTTATCGTCGGCTTGTTTGTCATCATTTCCATGGTCGTCGGCTTGTTTATTGCCATCATTTTTATCATCTTCATTCTGCTTATTTTCATCATTTTCAGCTTCAAGTGCTGTATTGTCTGAATTGTCTTCATCTTCATTCTTCTTATTTTCATCATTTTCAGCTTCAAGTGCTGTATTGTCTGAATTGTCTTCATCTACAGTTTGTTCAATTTGCCATAAAACTTGTTCATATTCACTTTTGATGAACTTTTGAACACATATTCTGCCTGTGAAACCAGCAAATAAGAACATGTTTGTGAATCCCTGCGGGGCAATCAAATAATATTTTGACTTTCCCCCACTATCTATCGGAATAATTTTCCATGTGCCATACACCGCACTAGGATCACCACTTAATCCATCCACCCACATTCCATTGATCACCGCCCTAACATGATACTCGGTGTGTCTGTGGGAATTAATATGAAAATAATTTCCACCAATACTTGCACGCTGGAATGTAAAACGGTTTTTTTTCTGAGCGACAGATTTGGTATATGTCCATCTAACAAACTTGAGTCCTGGGAATTTATTTTTTGCCATATACATCTTTGAGTCTTTATACATGACTGGTTTTATATGATATACGCCTTCGCACAGAAAATTCAAATCATCCATTTTCATTTCATGCGCTTCTAGGAATTGTTGTATTATCTTGTGTTCGAACAAGTTTCCAGAATAATGGATGATTGCAGTTTCTCTCGATGGCTGGACTAAGAATTTTAACAATTCCCTATTTTCATCTTGTTGTTCCTCGATAACAGCTTTCACTCCTTTAATAAGACTTGGTGAATTATTTGAAAATTTCAGTAATGCATATATATGCCATAATATTCCTCTCTTCATCGTATCAAGACAACAGTAAACGTGAATATAACGAACAATTTTTTCAAATTCCGAGGTTCTATAACTACAATATTTTTCATATTCCTCGTCTCTGAGCTCCTTGATACGCTTTGCTAATTTTCCCATCGTTGCAAAGCCGTCACCGATTGGAACCATTGCGCAGACAGCACTTACTTCATGGGTTTCAAGTTTTTTGTCGCCCATAGCACATACTAATTTGGCATATTTTGTCAATGTACATTTTATTCCTTCACATTCGTTCAGCATATCGCTATCGGATTGTTCTTTTAGCATCTCCTTCAGAGTAGTTTCTAGATTAGGACTATTCGTCTGTCTGTTGAATAATGCCATGCCAGCAACAATAACAAAATACAAGACGGAAAATACCGGATGAACAGTGGACAACTGTTTGAAAATGGAAGAAGCATTTTGAAATAATTGCACACCTACAACAACATTTAAATCATTTTTCTTCAAACTGGGCAGTAATGAAACAAATGAAACAATGCTTGACCGCAGTTCCTCTGAATCGGCATCGCTCAGTTTGTCTAATTCATCGAAAACAGACTGAAGAGCTTTCTGTAATTCGTTGTCAATTGGTAGTATTTCAAGAATAATTTTCAGTTCCTGATATAGTCCTAAAATTAAAAAAAGTTAACTCTATATTTACGTATAATCCTTTTAATCAAAGTAAATATATAATGAAAAGATCGTAGTAGAAAATTGTCTTAAATATGTGTTGGTAATTAATAATGCACGTCCTGTCTTCTGGATAAATCATATGGTCAGATCATATGTTTTCGTACGTCATATGAATTCGTATTATGCATGCTTTTTCAATGGAAATTGTGACGTCACAATGCATTCTTAATAGCACGAAAACGATGAGACGAGGATATATGCACTTAATTTATAATTACACGTAGAATTCAATTGAGCTACCAGTAAAATAAATAAGAACTGTGTCGTGAGAAATGGCGTTTTGAGAGCACGGACATGTATATACTTGTTGGCAGATATAAAATAACGTATCCCTGGTTGCTGAGACTACTATAACAGTAGTAGTCTCAGCTGGTTGATATAAACTAAAATAAGGTCCCAAATACGTGTGCATGACTGAGATTTTTTCCTTCATTTTACAGAATTACTTAAAATGTCAAAATTACAAGAGGACAGATAGAATGCGTTATTTCCGTTTCTATAGAAAAGATAGAAGAAACACCTGAGAATAAATCTGAATGATATATAAATTGGTAACAACGCATATGGAATAGGATCCCAGTTACAGGATACCAGTCCAGTACCCACGAATGACGTCCAATCTATTTTTAAATGGGATATTGTACCGAGATGAAAATTATGTTAAGATGCTTAAATTTGTAGTATATTCAAAGGGTATTCATTAAACTTTCAACTTTTGTTAAATTTTAGGTGGTTCTGAAATGTATAGGGTAGATGATTGTCTGAGTAAATGGTCCAAATTTTATTTTCGATTTTAACCAGGAAGTTTATAAATTTAACCTAATTATACTCAAAATAGTATTGCTCTCTTAAATGCCGGTCCATAATAATGACTCTTTAAGAATTCTCCAAGAAACCATGGGATACAAAGTTATTGAAATTTTGCAGTCTAATATAGGGAATAAAAAATCTGCCCATCAATTATGATAAAATTGAATATTGAAGTAATGGGGGAAATAATTGAGTCCCCGTTCCACATTTGTTGATGTAACATTTTACCTGCTTGTGTAGTTGATTTCGTTGCATTACTTTCTTCGCCAGCGAGATCTGAATTTGATGCCATATTGTCATTCCATTCGTATAGATATGGCTTTAACTAGAAGAATTTAGCATTTTTTCTAGACCTGCATGATTTGGTAAACATCGCAGTATATCCGAGTTATATAGTAGCATTAACACCAGACTGGTACCCGGCCGTTATTTGACAAGCTTGAAGGCATACTGAATATTTTACGGAGGGAACCAACCTACATTAACACTAATGTCTTATTCCAAAGTTGAAACGCTTTTTAACTACGCTTAGCAATTTTTAACATAAAACGACACAGTTCATTGTTTTTATTGTTCATGGACAATACATGTGAAAAGTTAGATCACTATTTGACATAGTGTGTCAATTGTTTTTCTTCTTGGGAACCGATATTATTTATTTGTTATTTAATATAAAGGGTAAAATAAGTACATTTTATGGGACATAAAAATTGAATGTGCCATACGGTGACATATTATCATTGATATTGTCAAATTGATAAATTAACTGTTTTCAAAATCTTCAATTGTGCGAAATAATAAGGATTTTCTATACCCAGGAATAGATTACCTTAGCTGTATTTCGCAAAATTTTTCGGATTTTCTGGCCTTCAATTCTCTCCACTTAGTACTTGATTTGGTCTTTTATATTTTTATTCGAACGTTACTGATGAGTCTTTTGTAGACGAAACACCCGTCTGACGTACAAAATTATGAGCCTGGTATCTTAAATACGCGTCATTTAGACTTAAATGGATAGTTGTTTTATTGGCAACCACACCACATCTCCTTATCTTACTAGTATATTTTTGAGTGCATCTCTCTATTGATTGTGATCATGTTTACTGATTTTCCATAGCCCCTCTTTTGATTTTTCTGCCTGAAGAAGTAGTTGCTCACTTTGACCGTTCTCATTAATCTTCTGGTTTAGTTTTATGATTTCAAGGTTCCTCTTCTTGGATCTGTCTTGTATAAAGTTTCCGCCTTTATGATGTAGGATTTTTATATCCTTTGTACTTTTTATACTTTTACAGTATGGGTCAATCTATAAACTTTATTTCGGCACCTGGATGTTGATAAAAAAAAATTTTATAGCTCTATTATATTCGTGTATGATGTTTACAAGTTCATTATGTTGATGTTTTAGTATAATAAATTTGTTTATGGTAACTAAGATCCCAGGTTCCTAACGTAATGTAAATAATGATGTTGTAATGCCTTTCGATTGCTTAGGTAATTCCTTAATCAATTAAGTCACCAGGTTGAGATTTGTTCAAGACACACACCTTGATTTGCCGAGTGGGAACTGGCTGTCTTGACAGGCGTTTTGTGTGGTGTAGCTCTTGCTTTCAGAAAAAAGTATCGGTGTATTTTTTAAATCTGAAACCGTTTTGTTAGGTGTAGCCCTTGATACCAGAAACAAGAATCGGTGTATAAATCTGAAACCGTATAATATGATGTAGTCCTTGATACCAGAAACAAGAATCGGTGTATAAATCTGAAACCGTTTTGTTTGATGTAGTCCTTGCTACTAGAAACAAGAATCGGTGTATAAATCTAAAACCGCATAGAATGATGTAGTCCTTGCTACCAGAAACAAGAATCGGTGTATAAATCTAAAACCATATAGTATGGTGTAGTCCTTGCTACCAGAAACAAGAATCGGTGTACAAATCTGAAACCGTTTTGTATGATGTAGTCCTTGATACCAGAAACAAGAATCGGTGTATAAATCTGAAACCGTTTTGTATGATGTAGTCCTTGCTACTAGAAACAAGAATCGGTGTATAAATCTGAAACCGTATAGTATGATGTAGTCCTTGCTACCAGCAACAAGAATCGGTGTATAAATCTGAAACCGTTTTGTATGATGTAGTCCTTGATACCAGAAACAAGAATCGGTGTATAAATCTGAAACCGTATAGTAACTAACAAACTAACTAACTAATTCTATTCAGTATAAAATCCAGTACAAAAGGATCATCGCTGAAATACATGAAAACATAGAAAAACAAAGTATGATGTAGTCCTTGCTACCAGAAACAAGAATCGGTGTATAAATCTGAAACCGTATAGTATGATGTAGTTCTTGGTACCAGAAACAAGAATCGGTGTATAAATCTGAAACCGTATAGTATGATGTAGTCCTTAGTACCAGAAACAAGAATCGGTGTATAAATCTGAAACCGTATAGTATGATGTAGTTCTTGGTACCAGAAACAAGAATCGGTGTATAAATCTGAAACCGTATAGTATGATGTAGTCCTTAGTACCAGAAACAAGAATCGGTGTATAAATCTGAAACCGTATAGTATGATGTAGTCCTTGGTACCAGAAACAAGAATCGGTGTATAAATCTGAAACCGTATAGTATGATGTAGTCCTTGCTACCAGAAACAAGAATCGGTGTATAAATCTGAAACCGTATAGTATGATGTAGTCCTTGCTACCAGAAACAAGAATCGGTGTATAAATCTGAAACCGTATAGTATGATGTAGTCCTTAGTACCAGAAACAAGAATCGGTGTATAAATCTGAAACCGTATAGTATGATGTAGTTCTTGGTACCAGAAACAAGAATCGGTGTATAAATCTGAAACCGTATAGTATGATGTAGTCCTTAGTACCAGAAACAAGAATCGGTGTATAAATCTGAAACCGTATAGTATGATGTAGTCCTTGGTACCAGAAACAAGAATCGGTGTATAAATCTGAAACCGTATAGTACGATGTAGTTCTTGGTACCAGAAACAAGAATCGGTGTACAAATCTGAAACTGTTTTGTATGGTGTAGTCCTTGATACCTGAAACAAGTATCGGTGTATTAAATCTGAAACCGTTGTGTATGGTGTACTCCTTGATATCAAAACAAGTATCGGTGTATTAAATCTGAAACCATTTAGTATGGTGTAGCCCTTGCTACCAGAAACAAGAATCGGTGTATAAATCTGAAACCGTTTTGTATGATGTAGACAAAGTCCTTGATACCAGAAACAAGAATCGGTGTATAAATCTGAAACCGTATAGTATGATGTAGTCCTTGCTACCAGAAACAAGAATCGGTGTACAAATCTTAAACCGTTTTGTATGATGTAGTCCTTGCTACTAGAAACAAGAATCGGTGTATAAATCTAAAACCGCATAGTATGATGTAGTTCTTGCTACCAGAAACAAGAATCGGTGTATAAATCTGAAACCGTATAGTACGATGTAGTACTTGGTACCAGAAACAAGAATCGGTGTATAAATCTGAAACTGTTTTGTATGGTGTAGTCCTTGATACCAGAAACAAGTATCGGTGTATTAAATCTGAAACCGGTGTGTATGGTGTACTCCTTGATATCAGAAACAAGTATTGGTGTATTAAATGTGAAACCGTTTTGTATGGTGTAGCCCTTGCTATCAGAAACAAGAATCGGTGTATAAATCTGAAACCGTTTAGTATGGTTTAGCCCTTGTTATCAGAAACAAGTATCGGTATATTAAATCTGAAATCGCTTGGTATTTTTTTTTGTTATATATTTCTTTAATTATAAGTTCATTGGTAAATAAACTTCAGTTTTAAATCTTCTTTCAAACCGAAAATATCATTATTTCTTTGTTTTCTTCAATTTTCCTCAATTATTTCGTAAAATGTGTTTTTAACTAATTTTGTAACTTTAATGCTGTGTTTAAATCAAGCAAATTCAGGATTAAAATCAAAGGACATATATATATAGTTTTCTTTGTATTTTTTTTTTTCGCGAGCTCTACTTGAAAATGTCCATTCAGTTTTCGCACATGCTCAATCTTCTAGCATAACCAAAAAAAAAAAAAAACAAAAAAAAATTCACCTTGCAACCCATGTACTATTAGTTTGTAACTCTCCTATAAACATGATTTGGAAATATATATATTTCCTTGAACCTTATTGCCCAGGAAGAAAATGAGTACAATGCATTCGAAATTCTTTCAAAAGCATTGCAATTCAATTTTTAATAAGCACAAGTTTTAAACAGTAAAAAAAAAGACAAGATATGTGACCCATCTGTCAGTTTTACTGAGCCGTGGCAGTGTTTTAAAATATAAATATTCTTTTCCACGTAAAGTATGAAGATCGCTTATATTTCCATGTAAATATTATAAGCTATCCCAAAGATATCACACCAACAAATGCATATCTGTGAAAACATATTATAGACTTTATATTAATTTACGATGACCTACGTTAATGTAGAGTATATATCTGTATCTTTATTATATGTCTTTACTTGCTTGTCTTACATTTTCTATCTTCAAATATAAAATGTCAATGTCCCCATTAAAATGTCACATGTCCGTCTAAAAGTCGTAAAAATATGTCTGAAAGTGTCCACTAGATTTTGTTTTAAAGAAAAATTATGCATTCTTTTAACATTTTATATGGATAATATCTAAAAAGGTTGGTTAATATTTCGAAGACTTCATTATCAATTGTATGTATTAATTCAAATCAAACTTCAACACCATCTCCAACCATTTACCGTTTACAAAAAAATAATTATTATTTACTAAATTAACGTTTTCTGGAAAATACGATGGTATCCAACTGACTTGTCTGATTACACCATAGTTAATAGATATAAGAAGATGTGGTATGAGGTTTACTTGACTGATTACACCATAGTTAATAGATATAAGAAGATGTGGTATGAGGTTTACTTTTGATTTGACTTTACTTCTTCAGATATTACATTTACTTTACTTTTGAAATTAACTGATGTTTTAAAATTAAATCTTAATATAATTCATTGAATTATTACTTTTTTTAACATGTATAATGTACTATGGTTTTAGGATTTTAGGATTGGTCTTTCTTTATTCGCAATAAACCATATATAAACATAGGTATAGACATTTATCATGTACAATATTTACAATAAAACAGAACACACAAATTGTTTAGATATTAATTTAATATATGAAGTACATTTTACTGAACCAGGAGCACTTATACAGTCATGTACCTGTGTTGATAATCTTTATAAATTTACAAATGTAATCGATTATGATATGTTTTTTTAAGACATAATCTGTTTGTATTTAATAAGATTCGCATTTTTAAAATAACACAATTGGTCAAACAATTTATCTAGTGTTAAATTGTCTGTTAAATTACTAATACCACAAGCGAACAACAACTATTCAAAATGCTGAATGACAAACAGCTTGACTAAAAAAGTACAATAATTTCGAAATATCTGAAGAAATACGGATTTTATGATGGAATTTTATCCATATGCAAAACTCTTTACTAATCACTTCTTTCAGTTTGACGAGCACATAGCTACAGAATTACAACCGACATCGAAGATAATGGAGAGAAAAATTAAAAAGTCTGCAATCCGTCGCAGTTATAAAAATCTAGCATCAGTTTGTGTCGGATGGTTTCTGTTGGTCGTATCATTCGGATCACTTCAGGGTATTGTCAGTAGTATTAACCATGAAGATGGTCTTGGATTCTTTTCTATGGCATGTTTTTACGCGGGTGCTATCGTTTGTCCATTTGCCGCAACAATATTTAGAAGATGGAATACGAAACCAGTTTTGTGTGTTTTAACCCTTGCTCAGATACCATTAGTATTATCATATGCGATTCCTAGACTTTATACAGTTTTACCAATGGCATTTATTGGTGGTATGGCACAATCGGTTGCATTTTCTTTGACAGGAGCATACCTGGTTTGGGTATCTGGTATTCTTAGTAATGCCAAAGGTAACACAACCAGTCGGTATCTCAGTATGGCTTTTGGTATTTACTACATGTCTGTTAGTTTCGCACCTGCGATCGGAGGAATATGTTCAACGTTTATATTATCTATGAAATTTGAACAAAAATACCATAAATACTTAAACTGTACGAAATCTCTTAAATCCGTAATTGCCGAAAACATAACCCTACCTAACATATCAATAGGATGTGGACCCGACTTCTGTCCGTTTGAACAAGCAGATGTTTCACAATTTGAGATAAGTGATATTGTAAGATACTGTTTACTTGGATTCTATTCTTTGTGTATGGTAGCTGCTACGGTAGTGTTTTCGTTCGGAATGGAAGATAAGCCTTCGGCATATCAGGAGAAAACCCAAATCAAACATCAGCTGAAATTACAAGTTAAGCCAAATGAAAAGTATAGAATTACTGCAGTGTTAAGATCAACAATATATGTAATGAAGCAGAGAAGATTCCTAATTGTAGCTCCTCTTGTATTTTACAATGGACTTCAGTGGGCTTTTGCTGTAGGTGATATAATGAAGGTACGTGATTAAGTTTACTTCTCCACTTTGCTGTATTCAATGATATAGCATATTCTATATTTTAAAACGTACAAAGAAATATTTAGCCAAAAAGTTAGGCTGGTTAGGACTCATTAATTTTTAGGGGGTTATTAATAAAACCATCATCACAGTTGGCTTTAAAGGTGATTGAAATTTGGTGTTGTTGCTTGAACGTATGGGTTTTTTTTTATTTATTTTACCGTTAGTATATATTTAAGTGTCTTTTCTACAACGAATTATATTACTTGGTCTTTTATAAGCCTTTTGTTATTCGCCTGGTAGAGTTTTAAAAAAGAGTGTTGAGATATAAAGAAAAATAATGAATAAACCGCCAAAATTATCCTGCATGTCCCCAAGTCAGGGATCCCTGTCGTTTGTTATATCTTGGTATTGTTGGTTTTGGGGGTTCTTTCTCTGTGGGGAAGGTTTTCCCCTTTTTTTATGATTTGGAGAATTTGTTGTTGAAGGCAGATCTGTGTACTGTACCATTTAAAAATTCAATTAGTACTTTTTGTTTGATAAATAGGCATTTGGTGGATGTGTTTTTGGTGCAGAAAAGGTTGGGACATTTATAGCAACATACCATTTTGCAACATGCCTGTCTTCAGTATTTTCAGGATTAGCTGAACCAAGAACTGGTAGAAAAATATTGTTCATGTTCGGTATGTATAACTCTTGACATAACACATAAGGTTTACAGAATAGAGAATAATGGACAAAAAATTGAATAAAGGGCCATATAAATATAGATTTAGAGAATCATGAATAGGGTGTTAAAATATAAAGAATACAGATTAACGGGCAAAAAATTAAAGGAAAGAAAAAAATGGTCTTATGAATTAAAGAAGAGATAAAAGTACAAAATTATTTTGATTTACCTGTGTTTAAAGTAATTGCAAATGGCTGATATTTTTGTTCAAGCATATTGTTTTTTTAAATTGTTTAACATTTCACAGCGGTATAACATGTTACTTTAATTAATCTTCCCTTACTTTATTTATTTTGTATTTGCATTGTATCATGATAGATCAAATTTATTTGTTCAGTGTATGTTCACTGGTGTTAATATGTCTTTTGATTGAGTTAAGCCATTTCAATTGATATTTTATAGTGTGTCTTTCTATGTTGTGATGTTACACTATTGTTTCAGATAAGGGTGAAGGTTTGGTACCATTAAAACGTTTAAACCCGCTGCAATTGTTTGCATCTGTCCTAAGTCAGGAATCTGATGTTCAGTAGTTGTCGTTTGTTGATGTGGTTCATAAGTGTTTCACGTTTCTCGTTTTTTTATATAGATTAGACCGTTGGTTTTCTCGTTTGAATGGTTTTACACTAGTAATTTTTGGGGTCCTTTATAGCTTGCTGTTCGGTGTGAGCCAAGACTCCGTGTTGAAGACCGTACTTTGACCTACATTGGTTTACTTTTATAAATTTTGACTTGGATGGAGAGTTGTCTCATTGGCACTCATACCACATCTTCTTATATCTATAAAAGTGGTCTTATAAATTAAAGAATACAAAAATGAATGAACCCCATCCAGACCCGTATATAATATTTTGTTACACACTTGAAGAAAAATACATTTCAATTCAACTTGTATGACAAGCATACAGAATTTAAAATTCACAAATAATCAGATATAGAACATATAGAACATTCCATCTGACTTATGTCGGTTTCAAATCTATAACTCACCAACATATTCCGTTCTTTTACAGCCTGCGTCATACACACGGCAGCGTGTATTATGATGAAGTTTTGGTCGTCGTTTCCAACCTGTCTAGCATATGCATTGTGTGCTATGTGGGGGTTGGGAAGTGGTACATTTTTAGCACAAAGCCATGGTATGTATTTGTAATCGTGTTATATATTGTTTTCAATTATATGAACTTGTAATTTTGATACTTGTTTAAAACTGTTTATGTTACGTATAGTTATATTTTTCCGATATCTATTCTAATTAAAGTATAGTTTGTAAAGTGTGTATGCGATAGTTCTTACAAAAAGAATTAAGAATTTAAAGCGACGCAAAAAATGTAGAGAAAAAAGCGTTTTATTGAGAAAAACAAAAATAGTAAATCCATAAAATTATCAACTATGATTGAAAAGATGTAAACTGGTGTGACCAAAGCATGCTAAGTATTAAAAAGAAGGACCTGTGCAGTCAACACGTCTGTTTAATTTGGAATACTAAATCAATTACTTTTTTTCTTTTTCAGCTTTAATGGGTGAATTATTTCCTTCGGAGGTGGAATCTGCAATGGCAGTTTATTTAATGTTCCGGTCATTTGGTCATATCACAGGATTTGGATACGCCCACTTTTTGTGCATGAACACAAAGATTTATGCTACTGGTGGTATTTGTTTGGTAGCATCTGGATTTGTTGCTGTATTTCACCAAAAGCCCCATCTACAGAAAGAAAATCTTAACACTGTAAAAGCTTGATTCGTGTATAGATTTGATCGAAAAGTTACTAACCATTTCGATAATAAGACGGATGTTTCTGTCAAAGCTGGATATGTACACCTTCCCGGGGCACCATTCCTTGTTTATAATTTTCACTTAATTGTCTTATTACTTCGGATTGTTTTCGTTTCTACATATCCAATCATTCTAATCATTTTCTGTGCTTTATTGTGTAATAATTCATTTGATTTTATTGCTCAAATTTCGGGTACCATGATTAGTTCATAAAAAATATCTTATCTATCCATCTGAATCACAATTTATCTCATCTTTAGTTCATTTGGTGTCTTCCATCTATTACAATAATTATGATCTATTTCTTTCAATTACATGTAGTTGAATTTAGGCACAAAAATAATAATAATTGATAATTGTTTTCAGTAGAAGTAGAATGAAATCCATTCAGATTCAATGCGAGAAATAGTATTAGAGCGTAAAATGGTACGATTTCTTGAGACTAAAAATACTTGTACTAAATCATGGAATAACGCGCTTTTGTAAATTTATATTTGAGCATTTTGACTGTTAATTATCGAATGTTGTGCCAATGTCAGATATATGATGATTGGTTGTGATCGATATATATTCCAACTTGTCAATACTAGAGACGAATTAAATCTAGTCTTGTTTTATTTTTTGTAAACATGTCTCTTTGAATTGCTGTTTAGAACAATTTTTTCTTTTTATTCATATAAGGGGTGTGTCGCCGTCAGGAATCTCATCAGTGGTTGTATTATATATTATCTAAGTATATTGGTTATTTGGGGAATTTGTGAAAGAAATAATTGTTTTGTGTTAACCTGTGCATTTATTATTAGCATAATTGAATCATTGATTTTGGGATCTTATATGTTCATCAAAATTGTATAATGCTTTCATTCTCACTTTATTTCCGGAGAGGACTGGGGCGTGTTTTTTTGTTCTTCAGTAGTGAACCAGAAGAGGTTCATTTCTGTTTTTTTTGCATTGGGGAGATCTTCTGGCTCTCTTCTATCTCTTTTTTTTTTTAAAGGTAGTTAAGACGGCAGAGGCACATAACAAACATGGCGTCGCTTAGTTTAAATGACATTAATAAATTTATAAATGCAGATATAATAGAATGTGAGTTGTGTGATAAATGTTTTTATGGTATTGCAACCTTAGGACATTCCTATAGGGACAATAAGCTGGATAAATATAAAAAAACTACACGGACAGTAACAGTAAGGGGACGACTCTTTAATATTCTGGAAAGTGGAATGGGACAGGAGGCTGTTTTGCGGATTTTTTTATTCATTTTAAATTTTTAATCTGTCGCTAAGCATGCCTATTTTTTCCAGCTCTTACCAGGCCACCATATTCATATTGAAAATCCTCCTGTCCCCCCTCCCCAAAAAATCAAATGGTTTTCCCCTTATTTAACACGAGTTTAAATTGATTGATTGTTGGTTACTTATTTTTAACGTTCAGAAAAAAACACGAATTTAAAAGTCAGGTATAGAATATCAAAACTAGTAAGGAAATGTGGCATGATTGCCAATTAGGCAACTATCAACCGGAGTTCAAATGAAGTAGTGTCAGCAATTATAACCAACCGTACGGCCTTCAACAATGACAAAAACCCATACCGTATAGTCAGCTATAAAAGGCCCCGACATGAAAAATATGAAACAAATAAAACGAAAAAAAATAACGGTCTAACTATATATATCAAAACCCTTTTAAAAAAAAAAACAAATATGAGTTGACAGATATGAACCAACAATAACCTCTGAAATACAGGCTCCTGACTTTGGAGAATGTGGCAGGGTTCAACATGTTTATGAGCGCTCAACCCTCCCCTAAACTGGGACAGTGGTGTAACAGTAAGAACAAACTGTAAAAATCAGTTGCAATTGGATTAACTCAAAAAATCGGTACGAGACACAAAAACAACTAACATTAAGAGGATAAACGTAAAGCACCGAAATAAAGAGTTTTTGCAGTAACTGAACGGCTTGTAATCATGCTCTCCCAGACTAAAGTATCAATCAGTACACAACCAACGGATTTAGTCATCCTTGTATACTACTACCTTAAAAACATATACAATTAAGGTTCTCAAAAAGTTGTGGTCCGAAGGTTTTAACCATCGAAATATTGCAAGGATCGGCACAATTTTGGTATTTCGAAATAGAAGTAATAGTTAGGACCAGTATATTTTTCTTCAAGGACCAACAGGGAATAAAGATTTTGAGAACTCTGCGATATCTTTTATATTCAATGCTTATAGACATGATGTCCTTTTCGATCATATACCAGACAAACATTGACAAATTCTTGTATAGTTTAAGATTATTCCAAAAAATTTAATGGTCTGAGCTTTAAGCCGGATTTGTTTGTTAAAATTAAGTTAGAAAAGCATAAAGAAAAAAATTCACGTAAACAGCGATTTTTTCCAACAATTTTCTTTGTCTTTTCACTTATCATATTATTACATCAATGCCAAAACAGAGAACACTTTTAAAGTCATGTCTACCGAATGAACTGACGTTACTAAATTTTCTAATAAATCATCGTAAACTTCGTTTATGTTATCCAACATTAAAATAAAATGCTCCGCAGGGCGCAGCTTGATACGACCGCAGAGGTCGAACCCTGAACAGTTGGGGCAAGTATGGACACAACATTCAAGCTTGATACAGCTCTGAATTTGGATTGTGATTAAATATTTGACACAGCATAGGTTTCTGAGACAGAATGAATGTGGTCTAAGAACTTAAAAATTTTAAATTTGACATTCACCTATTATGGTCCAATATCCAAAATCTAAATACATGGTTAGATTCAGCATATCAAAGAACCCCAAGAATTCAATTTTTGATGAAATCAAACAAAGTTTAATTTTGGACCCTTTTGACCTCAATGTGGACAAAGTTGATAACGGGGCCCAAAAATCAAAAATCTAAATACATGGTTAGATTCAGCATATCAAAGAACCCCATATATTCAATTTTTGTTGAAATCAAACAAACTTAATTTTGGACCCCGATTTGGACCAACTTGAAAACTGGGCCCATAATCAAAAATCTAAATACATGTTTAGATTCAGCATATCAAAGAACCATAAAAATTCAATTTTTGTTAAAATCAAACTAAGTTTAATTTTGGACCCTTTGGACCTTAATGTAGACCAATTTGAAAACGGAACCAAAAATTAAGAATCTAAATACACGGTTAGATTCGGCATATCAAAGAACCCCAATAATTCAATTTTTGATGAAATCAAACAAAGTTAAATTTTGGACCCTTTGGACCTCAATGTGGACCAATTTAAAAATGGGGCCCAAAATCCAAAAACTTAATACACGGTTAGATTCAGCATATTAAAGAACCCCAAGAATTCAAGAATAAAACCCCATTGAAATTGATCAAGAAATAAGCAATTTATACGAAGTATCTTCTTTTGCACAATACTGTGCAATTGAATATTTCTTGCTATTGCGCAATACTGTACAATTGACAATTTCTTGCTATTGCGCAATATTGTGCTATTGGATATTTCTTGCTATTGCGCAATACTGTGCAATTGAAGATTTCTTGCTATTGCGCAATACTGTGCAATTGAAGATTTCTTGCTATTGTGCAATACTGTGCAATTGAAAATTTCTTGCTATTGCACAATACTTATTATATAATAATTTACACATCCTGTTTGGTGTGTATCTCCTACCATATCATTATTATTTGCTTTTAAATATTAATCAGAAATAACCAACTTAAAATGGAAAATTTTAAAAGAAAAAAAAAAGGAAAAAAAAAAAAAAAAAAAGAAAAACAAAAAATCCCCCCTCCCAAATTTTTTGAACCCCCTTATGATTCATCACCCCAAACTCAATACCAGCCTTCCCTTTGTGGTATGGTACCTTGCAGTACAATTTCAGAGAGATCCATACACTTGAACACAAGTTATTGTCTGGAAACTAGAAAAATGCTTATTTTTGGCCCCTTTTTGGCCCCCAATTCCTAAACGTTTCGGGGATTACCCCCAAACTCAATTCCAGCTTTCCCTTTGTGATATGGAACCTTGTAGTACAATTTCAGAAATATCCAAACACTTACACACAAGTTATTGGCATGAAACTAGAAAAATGCTTGTTTTTTGCCCCTTTTTTGGCCCCTAATTCCTAAAATTTTGAGGCAATTACCCCTAAAATCAATTACAGCCTTCCCTTTGTGATATGGAACCTTGTGGTACAATGTCAGAGAGATCCATACACTTACACACAAGTTATTGTCTGGAAGTTACAAAAATGCTTATTTTTGGCCCCTTTTTGGCCCCTAATTCCTTAACTGTTGGTACCATAACCCCCAAAATCAATCCCAACCATCCTTTCGTGGTATTGAACCTTATGGTAAATTTTCATGGAGATCCATTCACTTAAACTAAAGTTAGAGTGCGAAAACCAATGTGTCTTCGGACGACGCCGGACGACGCCAGACGACGACGACGACGACGACGACGCCAACGTCATACCAATATACGACCAAAAGATTTTTAATTTTTGCGGTCGTATAAAAATCTTCTATATTCGACGGCAAATTGATTTTTTGTTGTATTGCTTCTTCTACAGAATATCTCCAGAAGAGGTCCAGATTCATTTTTTTTGGACTCTTCACCAGAAGACATTCTGGAGATGTACTGAAAAGAGACCAATAAAACACGCCCCTGTACTGTAAATATATATATGTATAAAAAGAGAAGATGTACACAAAAACCAAAAGACAACTTGAGGGCAATAATCAGTCTAAACAATAATAATACGGTATCAACAAATGCTCACAGTTCAGAACTGAAAGCAAACTCCAAGAACTTTAAAGGGGCTAATGCAATTTGCCCCTCTCTAGCTTTGGTCGTTACATTTTTTCTGTATTTTGTCCGCTAACCCCTTTTGAGGTAAAAAATTTTGTTGGGCCTCTCTCCTTCTTTGTGAAATAGAGCAAAACGAACCCATGCACCAAAAGCTGAGATGAACGCAGTTGCTCCAGAATGGTAAGCAGTTCCTAATCCAATATTAAGAGGCGGATTTAGTGGGGGCCGGGGGCCCGCCTCCTCCCTTTAATGAACTTCATTTAAGGTTAATCCAGACTTTTTACCTGTTCCACTCCAAACTTTGTCTAGTTTGAGGGCACCCCTTTCAAAATCCTGGATCCGCATCTGCTAGTGGCACCAGTCTATGCATATTTCAAGTTAAAACCTAACGACAAGTCACTTTCGGTGATGTCATAAATGAGGGAAAGAAAACGTGATTATGGCTACAATAAGTGATCCATGTTAATCTTAGACATTAATAGGCAAACACGCAAAAAATTGGTAAAACATGTCATTTTAGTACACTAACTCCCATAAAAAGATGACCAACGATTTCAGAAATATCAACTTATTTGTAGATCTTGCCTTGTGGAACATTTTTTATTTAAAGTTTCTCTCTATGCATTATAGTTTCAAAATAATAGGCAACAACACAACTAATTAGTAAAAATTGTCATATAAGGACAATAACTCCTCTAAAGAGTCAACTGACGACTTCTAACATGTTGACTTATATCTCTGTTCTTTACCTGTTAATAAATTACACAAAATTTTAGAGGATTGCAACACAATTCCATATTGCAGTCCTAAGTTTGAAATAGTCCAAATTATAATTGCATATTGTTATTCTAAAGTGTTTAATTATAGCGAAGTGTTTAAAGATGTAAATATCAGAGACAATACACCTACGTCATGAAATTGCAGTAATTCCGAATACATTTATGGCCCAAGTTCCCATGTTATAACAGGAGACCTTAACATCGTTCGTGACCGAGAGTTGAAATCATTCCTCAAGTAAAGGACCTAAATATCGTCCCCCGTCAATTATTAATTGGAATGAGTGTCGTAACATCATCCACGACTCACTCCGTACTTACTGCTCGAAATGGATAAAACGAGAAAAAGCTGATAAGAAATCCTTAGATTCTTTTTTTAATTCAGTAATAAACATAGTTGATATACGTATACAACATTTTAAAGAACATTTTACTCCTAAAAACAACCATAATAGTCCTATTTCTCGTATCAAAA